TGAAGAGGAGGAAAACGTCTCCTCTCCAACTCTTGGCAGAGATTTTGAAGTCTAACCAAATGCTGGGCCTCAAACCTTTGTGGCAAAGCAGAGGCAGCTGGCATCAGTCTGAACCTTGGCACTGAGTTTAAACACTTTTGTTAAGAGTTTGGATTCCAGGTGCTGTAAGACTGAAGGCAGAATCGGTTTCATTCTACGAGCCTCTCTCTGTGCAAGCTTCTCCACTCCTGCTTTCTGCGGCTTAGGGATCCCTGCCTTCAGTTCCTGGTGAGTTTCCGGTCCCACACACTCGGGCTAGCCTGGATCAAGCTAGACCCGAACTTCACGCGGGACTCCTTTGGGGGCCGCAGTGCCTGTGTTCCCACCTCTGTCCTCCTCAGGCTCTTCCTGCTGGGAGCCCAAGTCCCCTATCACCACTTTATCAATCACTTGTGTTTGTTTGGGGTCTGAGGAAGAGAAATTCCAGGTTAACAGATGGCTTTCTCATCTACACCTCAAAGTAAATCCTGGCTGAACTGAGATTTCTCTGAAGATACAAGCTTTGAGACGGCAGTTTTCCTTGATTTTTTTGCCCCCTATTTTTGCAGTTCAGAGCCTCACAAGAGGAGCCAGAGCGACAGCACAGTGGGCAGGGTACCCTTGTATGTGGCTGATCTGGGTTCGATCCCTGGCTCCCTGTGGCCCGCCAGGAGTGATCCCTGAGCACAGAGTTGGAAGTAAGCCCTGAGCACTACTGTGGGTGTGCCTTCCCTCAAAACAACACAAAAACAGGGCCTCCGTGAGAGGTAGAGTGTGCCCTACCGCTTAAACACATCACTGACTCTAATTTATCTTTTTGGGGGTCACAACCGGCGATGCTCAGGTATTACTCCTGGCAGTGCTCAGGGACCATATGGGATGCTGGGAATCGAATCCAGGTCGGCTGTGTGCAAGGCCAATACCCTACCTACTGTGCTATTACTCCAGCTCCCGCTATTTTAATTTTTAATTATCTATTTTTTGCTGTTGAGGCTTAAAGTTAGGCCTCATCCATGCAAAGCAGGACTCTACCACCGAACTGCATCTCAGAGCCCTACTTCAACACTGTCTTGGGCCAGAGAGATAGCCCAGGGGCTTAAGGCACCTGTGTTGCACGTGGCTGACCTGGGTTCAATTCCTGGCACCACATGTGGTCCCCCGAGTCCTATCAGAAGTGATCTCTAAGCACAGAGAATGAAGTGAGCCCTGACGACTATCAGGAGTGGCCTCAACCACCACAGTGAAAACAAAAGAAACAAAAAGACCCACTGTCCTAAGAGAAAATCTGCAGAAAATAGGTAGGATATTGGATTCATGTGATGGCATAAAAATATCGTGGTTATCAGACAGTCAATCAGTTAGTAAGCTGTCAGCTCCTGAAAACACGTTCCCAGAGAGTTAACTTCATGTTCCAAAGGTTTCATGAAGTCTAAAGACTGAGCTCTGGAGGCTGAGAACTTGAAGCTTCTCTCAGGAACACAGATTGTAATCACTCTACATCCTCTCGGATTACACAGGCTGCTGCGAGGTGAACAGAATGAGTTCTCAGTAAACAGGGCTACAGAAACTCTAGACAACATGCTGGGGCATTATTCTGCTGTTTCCAACGGAGAGAATGACTTCTTCGCTTGTAACACGCAAGAGGCAAGGATTTCAAAACATCATGATGCTACCGTCAGAAGCGGTCAGCCAGTGTCTGCATCCCCGAAACCGCCCAGGGAGTTCTCTGAGACAATACTCCTGACTCCGGCTAACGCAGGTCAGCTGGAAAGCCCGCGGCGAGCACTGACTGATGTTCCTAGGCTGGGAGGTGGGAATTGAAAGCAGAAACCGCGCTGGATTCCTAGGCTGAGGAAGTTGAAATGACTAAGAGCTGGCACTGGTGGAAGGCTGACCACGTGCCAGACGCCGTGTCCCACGCTTCATGGGCATGGTCTTGTTGAAGCCTCACTTCCCCCGGCCAGGCAGGACAATAATGATCTTTGTTTTCTAGGTGAGGAAACCGAAGAGCTGTGATTAAGGGGCTTGTCTCAGGGCAACCGTCACGGCTACACTGTGCAAACAAGATTCCCTCCTCGCCTCACTCATGCTGGGGCCCGGAACCTAAACGCTCACACCTTACTGCCTGTCTTTTCTTCTCCTGCCCCCCTCCCCCCCCCCCGCCTTTTTGGGTCACACCCGGCGATGCCCAGGGGTTACTCCTGGCGGTGCTGGGGGGACCATATGAGTTGCTGGGAATTTGGCCGCATGCAAGGTAAACGCCCTACCTGCTGTGCTATTGTTCCAGTCCCACTGGCTGCCTTTTCATGCCATAGGAAGCCCACTGCTTAGAGAACAGACATGCAGCCTGCACTTCTTAGGTGGAGGCACAGTCACTGGTGCATAAGGCAATCTGCCATCCCCTCCCCCCCTCGCATGACACAGCCCTGCAGTGCTGAAGGCAAGTTACTGAGTCTCTACCAAGTCAACTGACTGAGTGGGAAAGTTTTGTACCACATCATCTTCCTTAAAATACAGCTTGAGTTCCTTCAAGGGTCAAGAGTTCCCTTGCATACAGCCAACCGGGTTCAATCCCCAGCACCTCATATGGTCCACAGAGTTCCACCAGGAATCATCCCTGAGCACAGAGTCAGGAGTAAGCTGTAAGCACACCTGGGTGTGGCTGAACCACTTACTCCCTGTCTCCCTCCCACCCCCTGCCTTGACCAAAAAAAAAAAAAACCTAAAAAAAAAATAAAAAAACATAAAAGGTTGCTAGGAGGGGATTTAGGGAGAATTTATTTTCATGATGATGTGAGAATTATTCAGCTCAGTATTTGAATAAATAGCATTTAACTGGGAATTTTTAAGGAATCAGGAGCCAAATATTAATTATTAATAGTTGAATATTAAAAAAAAATCCCTGTAGCTTAAACTGTTTCCTGAACTCAAGCTGTTCAGATTTCTGACAGTCTGAATGATGATACTGGATGAGGCGCAGCCTAGAACTCATCAGAAGCACAGAATTAACAGTGGGCTTAAGGGTTAGGGTGAGGTAAACAGGTCTTTTTTTGGGGAGTTTGGGGGCCACACCTGGCAATGATCAGGGGTTGCTCCTGGCTCTGCACTCAGGAATCACTCCGGGCCGTGCTCTCAAGACCACATGGGGTCCTGGGGACCGATCTCGGGTCAGCTGCATGCAAGGCATGTACCTTACACGTTGCTGTACCATCTCCCCTGGCTGGTAAACAGTTTCTTGATACTAGAACATAAACTTTCCGTTGCTTGCTACTCTTAAGTAGTCGCTGCCCTAGCCAGGATGGGATCCAAAATAAACAAAGCTGCCACAGGATGCGACTCAGCACTGAGCACTTGCCTGACATGTGTGAGGCTCTGGGTTTGATCCCCAGAGCCACAAAATACAAACCAAAATAACAATAACAAAACAATCAGCACCTTTTCTGATCCTTCTGCCTAGTTTTCTCCTGTCTCTCTTAAGCCCCAGCTTTCAGAGAAATCTCTCAATACCCATGACTCCGGCTCTAGACATCTTTTTGCATAATCTTCAGCCTGCATGAGTTAAAAATCATCTCTTGATTTATCTATGAACAGTGCATTCACTGTCTTACTGGATTGTGAAGTACGTAGTCAGGTGGTGTGGGGGGGGCACCTTGGCAACGAATTTGGGAGAGTTATAATATTGAGACATGATCTGAAAAAGATCTGTCACCAGCCCAAACCCCAAAGTGGGACCCCATTTGGAGATTGTTCCCAGGAACAAAGGCCTGGAAAGACAGTCCTTATGGAGAAGCTGGACTCCCATAGGAGTGTTTTTTTTTTAATTAATTTTTTTTTATCAGAATGAAAGTCTCCCCTGAAGACTGAGTAAAGATACTTCTTTATTTTCCCTTTCACAAGTCACAGTCATTTTTCTCTGACAAGCTCAGCAGTGGACACTTAACTGCAGAAAAAAAATCCCAAGTCAGAGTAGTGTGGATAAGGTTGTAAAATCAGTTCTGCAAAAGCAAGAGGCAGGCGCTCTGGGGCATGTGAGTTCGTTTTGTGGGGTCCTCTCTCCTAGTTTTCTCCTCTCTCATCTGCATTTTCTCCTGCATTGGTGGTGGTGGTGGTGGGGGAAATGCCATTTCTTTTCCCTCATCCTTTTATGTAGTTGGTTTTTCTGGGCCACACCCAGCAGTGCTCAGGGTTTGCTTCTCGTGGTACGTGGGACCATATGTAGTGCTGGGGCTCAAACCCGAACTGGCCACATGCAAGGCAATCACCCCACACCTTGTACTATCTCTCTGGCTTTTTCTTTCCCCTTTCACAAATAAAACTTAACTGCTTCAATATGTTCTCCTGACATTCCTTTCTGTGGGAAGAGGCAATGAACCTGAGAATCCAGGGAGAGAGTAGGACTGACTTCTCCTTTTCGCACTGGCTCCCTCCAGCCAGTTAACCACGGCTCCCAAACATGGAATGGGGGGGACCCGTTCCCGCGCAGTGCCAATCAGTGGATCTCTGATGCAGCCAAGGGCTGCCTTCAAGGGGCTGGCGGGACAGAGCATCTATGCCCTGCACATGTTTCTATGATCTGACCTGCCTGGGCACTTCAGTGCAAGGTCAGGGAGGGCAGTAGCAGGCTCGCTCTCGACTATGGCTGCCCTCCAGTCTGTGACCTCCCCACTCTCAAGGCACTGGTCATAATGGCCAACATTGTGAAGGAGAGACTGAAGCATCAGGAAAGAGCAGAGATCTGTCAGGTGGCCAGCCCTGCACCTCGAACACTGTCTGGTACTTAGTAGGTGCTCAACTGTCAGATATTTAGGAGGCACTCAGTAGGAACAGCTTCGATAAACAGATGGCTAAATTAAACTGTCAGGTTATCATCCTGTCACCAAGGGGGGGTGGTGGGTGATTTTATTCTCTGTGTACTAGAGAGAGAAGCGTCTGCTTTATGGCAACAGACAGGAAGAAGAGGCCTTCTGTTAATTTCATCTTACCTGTTCTGCTCCCACCATGCTGATTGGCTTGCACTTGAAGAGGTGGGTGATGAACTTGGGAATGAAGGAGCTGCAGATAAAGGTAGAAAAAGAAACACAATTAGGCGTATTTTCCTTTCCCTAGCACTGCAGACGCTTCTTCCCAGAGGCCCCACTGCCTCCCACAGGACATCTGAGCAGCAGGCAAGTACGGTAGGCACCAACTTTCCCTTCGCATTCCACACTCGAAGCCTGGAGAGGGTTGGGGAGGGAAAGTCCCTCCTGAACTACAGTGGTGGGTCCCAATGTGCTGCTGCTGGTCCAAGCCTGGCAGTGCACTGGTGACTGCAGTTGGGTCCTCAAGCAGGGATAGGAGCCAAGTGTACTGAATGGAACTGGAGGGAAAACGTTTCTGCGGGGCTGGATCAAGACTCTCTTCTTTGGGGTAGCATGGGCTAGAACAGTAGAAGCTGACATGGAACAGTCAGCCTAAGGATGAAGTCAACAGTCTTCAGTGACATGCTTGAACCAATGAATCAACCATCTTTGGACCTGCCCTACCTCTGGACATCTGGCTCCACGAAACACAGAAACTCACCTTTTATCTAAGTCAGGGCATTCCTTGCTAGTAACTGAAAACATCTGAACAGATATGGCAGTAGAGAATACATGAGCTAGTTATGAGAGAGAGAGTTTGTTTGGTTTGTTCTGGGGCCATATCCGGCAATGCTCAGGGCCTACGCCTGGCTCGACACTCAGGAATTGGGCTGGAGAAATAGTAGAGGAAGGGCGTTTGCCTTGCACACAGCAGACCAGGTTTGATCCCTGGTATCCCATATGGTATCCTGAGCATGTGCTGCCAGGAGTGATTCCAGAGTGTACAACCAGAAATAACCCCTGAACACTGCCAGGTATGGCTCCAAAAAAAAAAAAAGGAAAAAAGGAATTACTCCTGGCAGAGCTTAGGGGACCATTTAGAGTGTCCGGGATTAAACCAGGGTCAGCAATGTGCAAGGCAATCACCCTATCTGCTGTGCTATCCCCTGATATTTATTTTTTAAAAAGGGGAATATTTTCTTTTACAATTTTTATTCTAAGAACACTTTTTTTCTGTGGGCCTGAGCGTTAGTAGGGCATTTGCCTTGCACATGGCCGACCTGGGTTCAATCCCCGGCATCCTATGTGGTCCCCCAAGCACTACCAGGAGTAATTCCTGAGTGCAGAGTCAGGAGAAACCCCTGAGCATCACTGGGTGTGACCCCCCCAAAAAAGCAAAAACAAACAAAACCCCAAAACAAAACATTTTTTGTTTTTGTACCACACCTGGCTGTGCCAAAGATCAAGTACAGTAATGAACTCAGGTGTGTATATAGATCCTTCCAAAGTAATTATATGTATTTTTTAATTTTGGGAGGTAGATCATGGCAAAGCCTGGCAAGCTCCCCGTGACGTATTCAATATGCCAAACACAGTAACAACAAGTCTCAAAAATGGAGACTTACTAGGCCTGCTCAAGCAAATCGATGAACAATGGGAGGACAGTGTTTGTGTTTGTTTAGGGGGTAGATGCCAAGAAGTTGTATTATTGGGTCGTATGGGAGTCCTAATTTTTAAAAAAATTATGAGATCTTTGGTGTAAATTTAGTCAACAATTGTGAACTAGTAACTGTCAGATCAAGGAACAAAATATATGTTCTCTCAAAAAATGTACTGAGGATGGAAGGGCAACCTGACTTGGCAGGCTGATGATAACCTGTGTGGGGAAGGGGAGAGTATAAATTTAATAGGTTGAGGGTCTTCTAAGAAAAGCACTGCAGAGGCTTATGTAGAGAAAGCTAAGTTGCCTGGGGTACAGAATTAAAAACTGACCCAAAGAAATCAAGAGTTGAATAAAAAAATTAAACAAAACAAGAAAACCCTTCAGCCAGTTCTTCTGGACAGGGACAGTTGTTATTTACTTGTTTGTTTATTACTTTTTGGATCACACCCTGTGATGCCCGGGGGTCACTCCTGGCTCTGCACTCAGGAATTACTCCTAGCAGTGCTTGGGGGGTAATATGGGATGGGGGGTGGGTGGGATATTGAACCTGGGTTGGACGGCAGGTTGCTATCGCTCCTGCCTACAGGACAGTTGTCCTTATTTTGTCCTTTACCCCAAAGCCCAAGATAAGGACAGGTGAAAGGGTTACTCAGAAGCCTTTGGGTATAGACGGCCTCAGGGGAACAGCTCACAAAGGAATTTAACTGATCTCACTGGCACTTCCTAGCAATGTGCTTCCCTGTTCTCTTTCTCTATGAAAACCACTTCAGGTGACTGCCCAGTGACCCTGAGGTCATGAAGCCGCCATCTTCCATCTGCTGGCTTGTCAAGGAAAGCTCCTCCTTGGCCAGTCAGCATCTTGACTGAGCAGCCCTCCCCAAGGTGTAAGACACCCAGAAGAGCCTAGAGTTGGAGGGATCGCTAGAGCGAAGGGGCCAGAAGGCATCTTCTGTGCCCACGACAAGGGAGGAATGGTTGGTGCCACAAAGCAGGACTGGCATCTCAGAGAAGGGCAGCTGAGCAGTCTCCCTGGGCTCTGCGTGGGTTCTCAGGTGTGGCACCTCCAGCCTCCTTGAACTCTACATCTTTCCTGTATACCCGTGACCCCTATAGCAATCTAACCACTCCCAGGACCTCATTCACCCAGTCACCCAAGTCAGAAATGTGCGATTTCTGCTTGCTGCTTCATCGTCAGCCACACTTGGCCACCCAGGGCTGGCCTGGGACATGCAGACCCCCTCCTCCTTGCCCTTCCCACTGCTACCATCCTACCTACTTCCATGGGAGTTACATAATCTGCTTCCGGAGCAGCCTCCCGGCCTTTAGCCTCAGTCTCTCTAAGCTGTCTTTGACAAATTTTTTTTTCTTTTTTTTTGCTTTTTGGGTCACATCTGGTGATGCACAGGGGTTACTTCTGGCTCTGCACTCAGGAGTTACTCCTGGTGGTGCTCAAGGGACCATATGGGATACTGCGAATCGAACCTGGGTTGGCCACATGCAAGGCAAACGCCCTACCCACTGTGCTATCTCTCCAGTCCCCTTTGACAAATAATTTAATATAGTGAATAAGCCTTCTCTAATGCAAACTCTTTAAAGCTGAAGACAAGGCCTTCCTTGGTTATCTTGATTCTCTGCCCTAGGTCGCATCATGCCTTAAGACCTAAGCCCTGACATCCAGGGCTGGTTGGGTTTTTTTTTTTCTTCAGAGATGTCATAATTTTGCAGACGACTGCATCACTGCCCCTCTGTCCATCCTCCCTTAGCCTATAACGCATTTCCTCAAAGCCTAATGGGTAAGCACATTAGACCAAGGATCTCTCTCCTTTGAGGCTTTTCCTTAGTCCCTTTCATCTAACTCAACAGAAACCCCGTAGAACTCTACCTTAACATCTAACCTACCTTATTATATTTATATGCTTAAATATCCATGTCTGTCCATAGGAATCACATCTGTTAAGTCAAAGTACTTAATTCTGGTCTCAAGTGAATTCATGTTGATTAAAAAAAAATAACGGTAGCAGTTACCATTTTTCAATTCCATATTTTAAAAAAATTTAATTTCACATTTTTATACCACTTTTCCACATCAGTGTGGTACCCAGCACTTGATCCAGAATTGACATATGAAATCCTGCTGTATACTCCCAGCCACTAAAAGATTGGTTCTTTTTAGTATCTCTGTATCCTGAGTAACAGCAAATCAGTTTAGCGGAAGAAGTCGCTTGTGATTAAGACCCATCTCTGGCAGGGGTAACCTTGCTCTACACGGGAAAGGCTTCAGAGATAAACTGGAGGCATTGGTGACATAAGAAAGGAAGCTAACGGGAAGGAAAATTAACTTCCAGAGGTCGGATCTAGGGAAAGGCTGGCTGATCAGAAGGGAGTGAGAACAAAGGCCTATTTGAAAAGCATTCTTTGGTGTAGTTCTAAACCAGAGCCAGGCCAAACAAGTGACATGATATTGAATTCTTGCCTAATTGCAAAACTAGATGCCGTTAATAACCCTGGTTACTTTGTTCTTGAGGAGACCCCAGTCATGTCCTTGAACTGGCTCTGTGAGCTTGCCTTCAGGGAGTTCGGCAGTGGAAATAAACGAAATAACTGGCCAGCAACAGGTCTTTGGAGAAGTCCCAGCAATGTGGGGGGTAACTGCCAGAGGCTTCTCTAGACCCTCAAGCTGTGGGTGGTGAATGCCCCTGGCTGGGAAAGGGTCTTCTCCGGCCCCTGTGTCTGAGGGTTCTAGTATTCAGCTGGGATTTTACAAGGAGAAGAGGGCACCAAAGAATATACCAGAAAACCACTTCCCAGACCCCAGGCTGCTAAACTTTTCCACATATGAGAGTTGTGCATCCTATTCCCAGCTTACCCCAAATGGACTAGGAAAAAAAAAAAAGCAAAAATCAAAATTCAAAGGCTCTGAGAGGATGGCAAGCTTAAGTGGGGTCTGGCGAAGTAAATGGACACCTTATCACTCAAACATCAGTTCAGTTAGAGATTTTGAGTCACAGTGAATTTTTATAGCTTTTACCCAAGGATGGGGGTAGGGGTGTTAGGAAGCAGTTTATCAGCAGTGCTTTAAAACACACACGGACGAGCGCCTGAGAGGGCTGGGAACGTGCATGCAGTGACCCCTCCCTGGAGAGTGCACTCGAGCCTCTCCACAAACTGGACACGAAGCTCACGCCACGGGCCATCCCACAACTGTGGTTCCTTAGGATTTTATTTGTGAGGGAGAGGGGAAGCCTTAATTAAATGTAAACTGGGAGAGATTTGGGGAAGACAGAAACTTGGAGCCCTAAAGCACCCTTGGGGACATGGATGAGATCAACCTCAATACAGTAGCTTGGACTGTGCTGACCCTCCTGAAGCCTTTCCCTGAGGCGTGTGCCAAAGGGCTTGCTTGATAATTGGTCGGGAGAGGCACTGGCCTCCGTGCTGCCTGGGCTCGGGGGAAAGAGCGCTGCACCCAGATGCTGCTTGCCTGCCAAGGGACCAAATTAACTACTTCCCTGCATCAAGACTCAAGCCAGTTGTGGCCACCCAAAAGGACGTGGCCAGAGACATGTGGCACGGTGATCACACCATCCACTCTGGCAATGGCCTGCTCTTCCCAGTTTCTAGTACTTTCTCTGGACTCAAAGATGTCAACACGTGGACAAATTTCTGGCAGCAACACAGAAGTATTATGGGGAAGAGGAAGAAAGGGCTCAATCAGTCCCGTTCCCCCACCCACCTCCTCATCGGCCTTTTAATAGCTTATAAATGAGTTGAGAGACTAAATGCATACAGGAAATCGCTGAAGAGCTAAAATGATCCAAACTCAGAGTGGAGTCAGGCCATGACTGTGTCCACATAACTCGAAAGAGGAGGACTCCTTAATTAATTTCTGCTGGCCTTGATGCAGTCGGAATCTTGTATTCCTCTTAACTGTTACCTATGATTTGAGGTAATAGATTTGGTAGATGTTTCTTTTGAGTCTAAGAATAAGTGTGCTGGTGGTCTCTGGAGAGAGCTCCAGCTTTTGAGTGTGGCATTCAGGATAGACCAGAGATGGCGGAATGTTCCAGGACTTACTTTGCAAACTTAATGCAGAACTGAGTGAAGTATTTCCGTGTAGAGGCCAGGTTGTCACGGATGATGGGGACATTCTGCTTAATGTGAAGAATGACGGAGGTGACATAGGGGCTCTGGTCACCGACGTGCTCCACGTTCTGCCACTGCATCTGAAATGGAGAGAGGGCCAGAGATGCCATTAGAAGGTCCATGGGCGGGGAAAGGGAGGGCCGTAGGGAGAAGAGTGGGTCAGCATCTACATCACGCTGATGGGCCCCTTCTGTTTGGGGAGGTCTGTCTGGCTCAGAATGTAATGAATAAAAATGATTTCCCACCTTCTCCTTGACATTGAGGTCTGACTCAAGGTGTGACTTTTCCTATTCTGTCAATCGTATGCTTAAAGCACCCCTCCCTTCCCATTGCCACGCAGAGAGGCTGCAGACCTGGGGCTCCTGGAACAGACCGTGGGAGACCAGGGAAAGGACACCAATCTCTGAGCCGATCTGGAATTTGGGAGACTAGAGGGGTGACAAGGCTCCATAAAATGAAACCTGGACTTGAGTTAACTTCTCAAGAATACTGGGAGCTGGGGCGTTTTTCAAAAGAGCGAGGGTGACAAAGTTCATGATACCGTTTTAAGAATTTCCTGCTTTGATGTCCACTGATTTTCTAAGAAAACGTAAGTCTTTAAAACCAAAGGGGGAACTACGTAGAAGCCACAAAGTTAACTGAGTGAAACAGTACCACTGAACACACAAACAACACCAACCAACTCAGTAAATCCTCAGACCGCGACTTTAGTGACACCATGATAAGGATACTTAAAGAACCCAAAAAAATGATGGCATGGTTCCAATTGCAAAGCACAAGAAAATAGGAGTTGAAATGAGAAAACACCTACAGCCAGACATGACAGAAATGAAGAACATGGCAGATAATCTAAAAACCTCAATAGAAGCTCGGAAGAGCAGAATAACAGCAGCTGAGCAAAAAATCAAGGCGCTCCAAGACATGAAGGAAACCACTAGGACACACAGAAGGTGGAAAATGTCTGAAAAGATATGAACAGCGCACCAGAGAACTATGGGATGACGTCAAAGGAACAATATAAAATTCGTCAAAATCCCTAAAGGCAAATTTGATGAAGAAACAATAGTTAAATCATCAGTAAGAATGTCCCAGAGTTGAGGAATACATCATGGAGACCGACAAAAATAGACTCAACTCGTAAAACTCCCAAGACACACTTCAGTCAAAGTGACAAAAGCCAAAGATAGGACAGAATACTGAAAGCAGCAAGATCAAAAAAGGAACTGACATACAAAGGAAAGCCCATAGATGCACAGTAGATCTATTAAATGAAACTCTGAGCCAGAAGAAAATGGAAGCACAGAGTACAAAAACTCGGTGATATGAACTTCTCACCAAGAATACTCTATCCAGCGAGATTATCTTTCACTTCTGAAAGAATGATACAGAGCTTGTGGAGAGGCAACAGCTTAGGGAATCCACAGCCTTGTTACTAGTTTTGTGGGAAGAGTGAAAAGAGCTTCTTTACAGGACAGGGGAAACGTGGCATTGAGTATGGCACCCACTCAAGACACATATGGGCACCCACTACTGGATCCAGAAAGGTATGTTTACTCTTTGCTGGCTAAGGAATCTTTTTTTCTTTATGGGTCACACCTGGCAACGCACAGGGGTTACTCCTGGCTCTGCACTCAGGAATTACTCCTGGAGGTGCTCAGGGGATCATATGGGATGCTGGGAATTGAACCCGGGTTGGCTGCGTGCAAGGCAAATGCTCTACCCGCTATACTATCTCTTCAGCCCCCTGGCTAAAGGATTTTGTACCTTTTCTAAAATGAATTAAAGTCTCATTTATTCAAAGAAGGAAGGTGAAAACTCAGGACTCTCACCCCTCAGATCTCTGGGGTTATTTCTTGGGTTTCAATCAAGGGGTGGGGGAAGGGAAAGGGAGGTGGTGACATGGGGCTGGGGTGACCAAGGGGAGTGCTGTGATCCTTTACCAGGTCATGGAAAACAAAACAAAACAAAACAAAACAAAACAACAACAACACTAGAGCCTTATGGAGGCTTAAGCTCTACTGAACTAAAGAGAATTTGGGGAAACTCCCTAAAAAGCATCTTGAATAGATGGGCTGCATGTTGGTCCCTGAAAGCTGAAGAAGAAAAGTAGTGGTAGACTCCCTTTTCCGAGCGGCCAGGCAGGCGACGGATAGACAGACGGACAGCCAGCCAGTGAGCTCTGATCCTAAACGGTGAATGCTGGAGTCAAATGCTCTGAGTGGTGCTGGGCTGTCTGTGCCAACGCCCTTCAGGCAAGCACGACCTCGAGAACAGGAGGAGGACAGTCATTCTGAGGCCCTGATGTCTTTGGCAAGAAAATGCAATTTTTATAGAGCTCTTGAGGATAAGGAAAATTCAGTACTAAGAGAACTTTTTTTTTTTTTTTTAAAGAACAGTATTGTGTGTGGATCTGGCACTCCTGGGAAGCTCTAAGGACTCGGTGTCTTGTCACATCAGCAGATATTTCTACTGTGTAGCTTAGAGCTGTGGGCATGGCCAGGAAGCACAGATTCCGCTAGAGGCAGATGGGTCCTCTCCTTTTACTTTCAGGTGAGACCCTGCGATGTGCAGAGCCAGACACAACCCTCTGCTCTCTAGCTGGGGAAACACTCAGACAAGCAACAAGCATCGGTGCAACAGTCAAAGGGCCAAATGTGAACTGACTTCATCGGGTCTCAATGCTTGGTTCTGGGTCATGTTTCCCTCAACTTTAATTCCAGAGGCATTTTTCCCCCCCTTATCTGATTTTAGAGCTGTGACCCATCCAGATAATGAGCATCCAAGGTGATTGGAAATGAGCTCATTGGGCGAGGCGAAAACGGACAGGTGCCTCTGAGGTTTGTGACTCGTCTCTTTCCCTGGCTCTGTGGCAAGGCCGGGAGCAGAAAAGCTGAAGGTGAACACACGGTGAACTGGCGGGAGGCTTGGCCGCAGGACACACTTCCAGAGTCATGCCCACCGTGGTCCAAGCTGGCAGCCTTTCACATTGTTATGTCTCACCAAAAGTTTATCCATGATTCTCTAAACGCTACGGTTCTCCTTTCATAGAAGAACGCTATAAAGCAAAGTGCTGACAGACCCTGTCACTGGTCCGAAACAGCTCTGAAGCAAGACAGAGCGTGGGGGGTGGGCCGTCAAGTTCTCGCTCGTCAGTCTGCATGGCCATGAGCTAACGGCCCTCGCTCACCACTGGCCGTGCCGGTGCGTGTCCACAGTTGGAACAGCGCTTCAAGAAAAGGTGCTCATTCGCCACTGCTTCTGATTTCTTGTTTTCTTTCCCCCACTCCTGCTGTTGCAAGGACAGAGGCCGAGTGATCACACACACCCTTGGGTGTGGGGCTCTCCTGGGTCCCACACCAGGCCCCAAAGCTCACACACTTGGCCGCGGTGCTCCCTGGGAGTTGCGGTCCTTCAGCTGGGTATGCTTAAGGATGCCCAGTGGTGGTGCTCGCGTGGATTCTTGTTACAGTGCCTGTGGGGCTTTGCAGCGGTGTAGCACTTCTGACTGTGGTGCTCACACACTCCTGGATTCCATGGCCAGAAACTGCCAGCAGCACCTGGGACCACAGACAGCAGAGCTGCCAGGCACGACCAAATGGCTCAGCTCATGCAGGCCACACCTGGGGTCAAACTTGTAACTTTATGCTCCCAAAACAGGTGCGTTAGCCACCAAGTCATCTCTAGCCCCTCATTTGTTTTGATACTTTATCAAAAGCTAGGGCTGTACTGGTGAAGTTATAAGAAGTAATAGCCAGAGTCAACTCAATTCCAGGGCTAGAGAGATAGTACAGTGGGCAGGGTGCTTGCCTTGCACGCCGTTAGCCTGGGTTCAACCCTCCGGCACTCCATATGGGTGCCCAAGCTCACCAGGAGTTAATTCCTGAGCATGGGGGCTGGAACGATCGCATAGTGGGTAGGGCGTTTGCTTTGCATGCGGCCGACCTGGTCGACCCGGGTTCGATTCCTTCGCCCCTCTCGGAGAGCCTGGCAAGCTACCGAGAGTCTTCCACCCGCACAGCAAAGCCTGGCAAGCTACCCGTGACGTATTGAATATGCCAAACACAGTTACAATAAGTCTAACAATGGAGACGTTACTGGGCCCACTCGAGCAAATCGATGAACAATGGGAGGACAGTGCAGTGCAGTGGAGCCAGAAGTAACCTCTGAGCATTGCCAGGTGTGACCCAAAATCTAACAACAAAAACAAGTCAACTGAACTCATGATTTTAAATCTACATAAGCCTGAGGGACGCAAGGATGGCTCAGTGCTGGCCCTGTAAGCATCAGGTCCTTAGTTGGTTTCCCATATCGGCCCATATGCGGAGAGGGATCACAGTGACACTGCTGTGTGTGGTCCCCAATGACAGAACAAAGAGCACAATGAGCACTGCAACTAAGTGGGCAAACACCACCAACAAGCATGGTGGCCCCCGACCCCTGCAACACCACCACCAAAAGATGGGGGAGAGGGATCAATCCCTTTAACGAAGTGAAAAAATAAAGTGTTGAGAATGATGAAACGTGATATTGCTCTCACTATCTTCCCCCCCACATGTGCAAAATGCAGTTGACAGGGATTCTTCCCAGCCTCAGTGGTCAAGGTTCACCACCATCTTCCACGATGACTTGGGGTTTAGACTGCAGCTGCCATGCGTGAATCTGCTCTCCTGCCACCTTGTGTATATCATCTTGCCTAGTTTTCACAGAAATCTTGCAGATGGAGAAACTGAAAAAGCTTAACATGGTGGCCAGGGGTTGGAGCAATAGCACAGAGGGTAGGGAATTTGCCTTGCACGTGGCTGACATGGGTTCGATTCCCAACATCCCATATGGTCCCCCAGCACCGCTGGGAGTGATTCCTGAGTGCTGAGCCAGGAATGACCCCTGAGCATTGCTGGGTGTAACCCAAAAAGAAAAGAAAAAAAAAAGGTGGCCAATTTGCTTAAAATTTCTCACCTTGTGTAAATAATAGTTGGGAATTATTCTTGGGCCTTAGACAGACAACCCTGGTCTGTCTAAGGCCCAAGAATTATACCAGGCCATTTCCTAGACACCAGTTTAAGAAAAAGAAGGAAGGGCC